TCTCCCCCCTTGTACTCTTGCCCCACCCATTCCCCTCACATCTTCCTCCTGCCCTGTCCTCTTGTGCCCACTGCCCTTGCACTCGCCCCTCTTCCTCTCCCCAAGTACCCATTCCCCTCATATTCGCCTGCTCGCTCCCCATGTGCCCACTCTACTCCTGCCCACTACCCTCATGCCTACTCCCCTCCAATCCGCCACCTACCCCTTCCCCTTGTGCCTGCCCTCCTCTTGCTTGCTCCCCTTGTTCCCACCTCTCTCTGGCTTGTGCCCATTCCCCTAGTACCTGTATCCTACCTACTCCCTTTGTGTCCATGCCCCTTGTGTTTGCTCCTCTCGTGCCCGCCTCCAACCCGCTCCTCTCGTACCCGCCTCCAACCCGCTTCCCTCGTACCTACCTCCTAACCGCTCCTATCCTGCCCACAAGCCTCCTGTTGGTTCCACAGTACCCACCTCCCACCTGCTCCCCCCTTGCCTGCCCACCTCCTACCTGCTCCCCTCATGCCTGCCTCACTCCACCTCCCCTCATGCTCGTCTCACACCCGCTCCCACCTCATACCCGCTCTCATCGTGCCCGCCTCACACCCGCTCCCATCATGCCCGCCTCACACCCGCTCCCNCTCACACCCGCTCCCACCTCATACCCGCTCTCATCGTGCCCGCCTCACACCCGCTCCCATCATGCCCGCCTCACACCCGCTCCCGTCGTGCCAGCCTGCCTCCTGCCCACTCCCCTCATGCTTGACCCCCTCATACCCACCTCCTGTCTGCTTCTCTTGTACCTGCCACCTGCCCTCTCCCCTCATGCCGGCTCCCCTCGTTTCCGCCTCCCGCCTGTCAGCACACCGGGCTGTGCCCTGCAGTTTTAAGTGGAGGGTGGCACGGCAGCATTTACTGAGCCTGACCTACATAGGCTCTGACAGCTCTGTGGAGTTCGACTAAAAAGCTTTGGAGTTGATTTAGCATGAGGGAACGTAAACGGATGGGTTTATTTTTGGAGACCAGCGGCTCTGTGCTTAATGACCTCTGCATACAGGACTGGGGGGGCAGGGAGTGCATTAAGACACAAGCGCACACCTAACTCTGTGCGCATACAGGGACCTCATCATTTTACCGCAATTAATAACCTCTAATGCTCTCAGTTTTTACACTTGGAAAGTAGCAGTTCCATTCTTACTTGAAAAGCCTACTTGTTTTTCGGGGTTTCCATCTTTTCGGGTTGTTCTGTCCATTTTCTCCATGTTCAGCCTCAGAATATACCCTTGTGCCTGGACAGCAGGTGGCACGGCAGATAAGGTGCAGAGGAGGGGCCTCTGTGAGGCAGGGCCTCTATGAGGCAGGGAGTGCGGCTATGAGCGCGTCAGGCTAATGGCCCCTCCCTCCATCCGACTGCCAGGTGCCCCGGCCGTCGGCGCTGTAATTGCCCCCGCTGTACACTGTTAAACCCCTGAGTGAGGTGCCTATCCTGAATTGCGTTAATAAATATCCAGCCACCTTTTCTGTGGACAGCAGGGTTTCCGGCAGTAAACAAAGTATTAGGGAAACGATCATTTAGCACCAATATGCTGAATCATGTCACCTGCTGCCAGCTGAGTGGGCCAATCGGGGGACTCCGTTGGCCGGGGGGTGAAGCTGTTCTCCAGTTGCGTTGAGCTGGATCTTGAGCTGCGGGTGTCTGAGACTTGCATGGTTCTGGATAAATGGGGGTGTGGCTCAGTGGGTTTGGACACCGTGCCTGCAGTCAGAAGGTTGCTACTTTGAATCCCAATGTCGGCAGAGTAATTTCAACCGTTGGGTCTTAGAGCACAGCCATTAACCCTGACTGACTCTGCTTTTGTATGTCACTTTGGATAAAAGCACCTGCTAGAATAATTAAAAATCATAATTAAAATATGGCTCTGGAATGATTCCTTTGGAGTCTGTCTGTGTGTGACACTCCACTCACGAGGCCCCTGCATCCCATCCTGCAGAATCTGCTTTCGGTCGCTGCTTTAGGGCTGAATTTTAAAGATTTTTTCTTCGGAGAGGAACCAGGCCACCGGCTGCTTGGGCGGGGATCCACCGCAGCCTCCATTTTTATACCTCCTGCCAAAATCAATCGATGATTTATCAGCTGAACTTCTTAATGAAAATGCTTGTTAATTGGACAGTCCCTTGCTGCGGTTAATTTTTAATGAATGTTAATTCTTTGCTTAGTCAGGGGTTTTACTCCAGCGCGTTTTTTCGTCTTTTTGTTCTGCAGCTGGATATTTTTTACCCAAGTGATTCAGGTTAAGTACCTTCCTCGAGGCTCAGTCCTCATGGGATTTGAACCAGAAACCTTCTGGTCACCTTCAGGGGTGGGGTGGGCTGGGGTGGGGCGATTTTTAGATGACTTACTTGTGTTTGGAGGTTGGAAAGGAAATTATTTGTGAGTTGTTTGGGGTTTGAAGTCTCTGGGGGCGATATACATGCTCTGGAATTTCCACGGCCGGTAAATACCCATACGCCAAAAGGACAAACGTGGCTTCCGGAAGGGTCAGGGGTCCACAGGGTGGGGGTCCGGCTCGGGGTCTGCACCTGCATCCCGGGGGACACCGAAGGTTAAATTTGAGCCGTTATGGAAAAGATTATTCAGCAAGGCTTTTCACCCCAGGAGGGGTGGGGGTCAGCACTGACTGGGGGTCAGGCTGTGGTCTGATTCTCCCTGATGGACGATGGTGTTTTTTTCCCCCCCTCTGTCCGAGAAATGTGTCAATTGGACAATTTGTTAGGACACGCAAGGGTAGGGGAGCCTGGAGGAGCGGAGTGCAACGGTGGGCAGGTGGGGTGGAAAGGCAGCTTAATGGGCACATGCTGCTCTCTAGGCCTCGCGATTTGCTGAAGCCTTCAGCCTAAGTGGCGCTAAAAGCCGGAAGCGGCCATTTGGTCGAGGGCTTGGGCGCACAGTGTGGCTAATTGAGTGGGGTCCTTCAGTCAGCAGGTGCCCAGTATTGCCTGTCAGAAAAGGCCGCCATGCCGACAGCAAATGCTGAGGTGTCCCGATGGTGCAGGTCTGATGTCGGGAGCGTTGGCATGAACCTCGTCTGTGGGGCAACTACTTTGAAGCGCTCTGGGGGGTCCTTCTTGGGAAGCACTGAGTCTCAATGCGTGTATAAATAGGCTGAGCGCCCAACTCCTGCCTGATACATTCTTTGCACTGTTAATGAAACACTTTCCCGTTCAGCCAAACTATAGTGATTTCAGGTGCTAATTAGATCTTCTGAATATCAGTGCTGAACTGCAGGAGGTGCAGGAGTCTTAGTACAGCTACACAGCCCTGTGCTGTTCTACACCCAGCAACGCAGCCCTGTGCTGTTCTACACCCAGCTACACAGCCCTGTGCTGTTGTACACTCAGCTACGCAGCCCTGTGCTGTTCTACACCCAGCTACACAGCCCTGTGCTGTTCTACACTCAGCTACACAGCCCTGTGCTGTTCTACACTCAGCTACGCAGCCCTGTGCTGTTCTATACCCAGCTACGCAGCCCTGTGCTGTTCTACACTCTGCTATGTAGCCCTGTGCTGTTCTACACCCAGCTACGCAGCCCTGTGCTGTTTTACACTCTGCTACATAGCCCTGTGCTGTTCTACACCCAGATACACAGCCCTGTGCTGTTCTACACCCAGCTACGCAGCCCTGTGCTGTTCTACACTCTGCTACGTAGCCCTGTGCTGTTCTACACCCTGCTACGCAGCCCTGTGCTGTTTTACATCCTGCTATACCTCATTCCCTGTGTGGTGTTACACCCTGCTATGCCCTGGCTCTGTGGTATATCTGTGACCCTGATCCATCTCCTGTCTGGCCCACAGATAACCTGCTCATTGACTACCAGTTCACCTTCAGTCTTCTCCAGGAGGATGACCACCACTACACTGCCATTAACTTCATGGCCACACCTGAGCAGGTTTGATTGCACTACCGTCCGTCTCCAGTCTCCGTGGTCTTTTGCCCGTTTGTTGCCCTTACATTCATGCACAATTATGCCATACTTATCCTGCCACTGTTTATACTATGCTTATTGCTCTGGGCCACTCCTCACTGCTGAATGGCTGATTGCAGGTTGAGCCAGAGCACCTGAAATCTGCTGTTTTCTCTTTTTTCGTGGTTCTGTGAACATGACCACTTATTTGTGGTTCCATTTTTCCTTCTCCCAGACCAACAAGAACTTGGACATGTCCATCAACGCGTCCAACAACTTCAACCTCAACATCACCTGGTCCGTGGGCTCCACAGGTAAGCCTGTGATATCACAGTCCTGAGAGCAGCAGGATGGAGATCAGTTATCTGTGTCATGCCGTTAACAGAGGTGTTAAAACATTGATTGGCGTCCTCTTTATGTAAAGATGCTGTTCCAGGAGAATAAAAATCTGCACAAAAGGCTGTCCAGGCACCACGAATCGTGATGATTCCAATTAAGATAGATGGCCATGCACCTTGGAGCCTGCTTCTGTTTCCACGCTGACCGATCATGTTTGTTACTCGAAGCTTGATTTAAAATTCCGAATGGCAGGAGCAGGCTGCTTCACCTTCCATGACGACTTCTTTAATGAAACTCGTAAAGCTGCTCTAATTAAACGCTCAAATCAGAAGCATTCGTGATTAATGCTAAAGGTTATGGCTGGTTGGCTTTACTCATCTTTGATCTTGAGACAAAATGTCACTGGACACTGTCAACTCCATATTCTATAAATGTGGAAAATATGGAAGCAGCTACAGCCCGTACTGCTCACCCTCGTACCCTCGACTCAAGCCCGTACTCCTCACCCTCGTACCCTCGACTCAAGCTCGTACTGCTCACCCTCGTACCCCCGACTCCAGCCCGTACTGCTCACCCTCGTACCCTCGACTCCAGCCCGTACTCCTCACCCTCGTACCCCCGACTCCAGCCCATACTGCTCACCCTCGTACCCCCGACTCCAGCCCGTACTCCTCACCCTCGTACCCTCGACTCCAGCCCGTACTGCTCACCCTCGTACCCTCGACTCCAGCCCGTACTGCTCACCCTCGTACCCTCGACTCCAGCCCGTACTTCTCATCCTCGTACCCTCGACTCCAGCCCGTACTTCTCATCCTCGTACCCCCGACTCAAGCTCGTACTCCTCACCCTCGTACCCCCGACTCCAGCCCGTACTCCTCACCCTCGTACCCCCGACTCCAGCCCGTACTGCTCACCCTCGTACCCCGACTCCAGCTCGTACTGCTCACCCTCATACCCCTTGGTAAACTAAAGCCATCTCTGAGCTGACGGCTGTGTTCTGCTTTGCAGCTGGGACCATCTCAGGGGAGGAGGTAGCCATTGTGTCCAAGACGAACATCAAGGACTACAGAGACAGCTTCTCCTGTGACAAGTTCAGCTTTCGCACTAACCCGAACATCACCTTTTACGTCTATGTCAGTAACTTCTCATGGCCTATCAAGATCCAGGTGAGAAACACCGTTCTGCTGCATATGTGCGCAGCACAGAGAGACATGCAGGCCTGTTTTCATCTTGCAGGTTTCTGGGCTCTGATCTGCTGCATACAGGCGCAGCACAGAGAGACATGCAGGCCT